TATTTACTATATGACCTAGTGAGTTTTTCACCTCTCTAAAGCCTCCTTGTCCACATCTATAAATTAGCATGATGATATATAAGAATCTTGTGAGCATTAAACCAGATTATATGCTCTAAGTTTTTTAGTACATAATAAACTCTCAATAAATGTTGGCTGCCATTATTATTACTATTGAACCCTAAAATAACCTCCATTTGCCAGGCTTGACCAATTTTAATTACATGCAGTAACTCAAATAAAGATCATAAAACATAGTCTTAGAAAATCAAAATGGATTAGCAAGACATAGCAACCAGGTGCAACTTGTGGTTCTAAATGTATCCTGAACCAGAATTCTACATTTTTCCTTTTTGCTAAAGAATACTACTGGATTAGCTATCAAATCTGAATAAGAATTACAAACCAAATAATACATAGGAATCTAGTTTTCTGTTTGACAACTGCACTGCAGTTATTTAAACAAATATCCTTGTGGTTTGGGGATAAACAATGCACTATTTAGAAGTAAAGGAGAATTCAATGATTGCAACTTACTTTCAAATGGTTCTGAAAAAAATGTACACACATTTTATATTGTCTGCATGTACGTGTGTGTGTGTGTGTGTGTACACAACTATTGGCTAAAGGATTTATAACTTTTAATCTTAACCCACTCTTTATTTTCCTGTTCAAATTACTTACTAGTTCTCTTCTGTAAAGTAATATCTCTACTAGGAATTAATTGTCCTACAGACCCACCTGCCCCCAAAAAACAAGTACTCAGAGACCTAATTTTCACTTTAGCATTGTAAAGAGTTCCAAAGTCAAAGTACATTTTGAAACAGAACTAGCCTAGTCTTATAGTATGTATTAAACAATAACTGTACAAGTGCCAAAGCTGGCAACAGTTTCCACTGCTGTTGCAACATCTAAGCTCAAAGTAACATTCATGGATTTCTCAGTGGGAGCCTATGGAAAAGCAGTTGGAAATTCCTTCTGCTGTTTCTAATTAAATCAATTTCACAACTCCACATTTCAGCCATTCCCTAAATGGCTACCAATGCCCCGACAGGTCTTAAGGACAGCCAAAATACTACGACAGTAACGTGTAGTAGGGGGCTTCCCTGGTGGCTGTGTAGTAAAGAATCCATCTGCTAATGCAGGAGACCCAAGGGACCCAGGTTCGAAAGATCCCCTGGAGTAGGAAATGGCAACCGGCTTTAGTATTCTTGCCTGAAAAACTACATGGACAGGGGAGCCTGGTGGGCTACAGTCCATGAGGTCACAAAGAGTCAGATATGATGGAGTGACTGAGCACACAGCATCACATCAGACACCAACTTTGTGGATGCTGAATTAATATTTTCCAAAAATCCTGCCTTTCCTTTCATATCACTAACAGAAATCTACATGGGCCTATTCTAACTCCCATCTCCAAGCTAAACAACCTCTCCCCCAAATACTTCAAAAAGACAGCAATGTTTAATAGGATTAGTGAAATTTACATTACTCATGTCAATGTAGCACTTCATGGTCACAAAGCACTTTTACATAAATAATTCCCACTTCCTTTTATAATACTACTGTGAAGAGTCCCATTTCAAAGAGTAGGAAATTGAGATATGAAAATCAATAGACTGTCTCAAGATTACACATTTTATGTATTGAATTTAGGGTCAGATCCTATGTTTTTGGATAGAGAAACAGAGGAGGGAAAAAAAATCAGTGAATGGCATCTAGTCATTCGGGAAAAAAAAAATCCCAGCCGCTTCCCTATCACTTACCCTCATACCCAATTCAGCTCCTTCAGGATAAAGTCTAAACTCCTTAGCTTAAAAAGTCCCTTGGGGATCTGGCCTCTTCTCCTCACGTTTCTCTACCTTTCAATACTTCACATTTCTCTATTTCAAGCTGCAATAACTATTATCTTGTGTCCTAACACTTCTGAAATGTCTACCTTGGCGCCTTTGCACATGCTGTAAGGTTCTTCCTGGAGCACCCTTACGACCTATCCTCACCTAGCTAATTCTCATGTGTCCTTCAAGACTCAGCTGAAGCTATCCTGGAAAGCCTTTCCCTAATCCTCCAGTCTCAATAAACAGGTTGCTTCAGGTTTCCGCTGACCCCGGACACACTTGGACCGTCTTCACCAGGCCACGCCAAGTGTTCGTGCCACCTCTTCCTCCAGACCCTTCTTGTCCAAACGAACTTTCTGCAGCGATGGAAACTGTCTACATCTGCACGGACCATCATAAGATTCACTAGCCACAGGTGGGTACTGAACACTTGAAAGATGGCTGGCTCTGCTAAAAAACTCCGCATTTATTTTAGTTTTAATTATTGTAAGTCTAGATTTAAATAACCGTCTGTAGCTAGTGGCTATGGTACTGGATAGCACAGCTCTAGACAAACTGTCAACCCCAAGGACAAAAGCCACTCTTAACTTGTCTTGGTGTCCCTGACATCCACCATAGGACCCAGCACACAGCAGGATTTCGTGTTTGTCGAAAGAACAAGTGAATGCGTAAACATCTATAAACACTTCTTAAGTTGGGAACTGATTCCACCCAATACTCCCAGCATTCTGGATTATCATATAAAACTCAGCCAAACCGGTCACATCATGTAAAGCACACCTCATTAACTATTGTGGAAAAAAAGAAAAAACCTCAGTAAATCACTCATTTCTGTTCCGGGTACTTCAGCTTCACAATCAGTCTTAAATGACTTCCAGATGACTTTTGGACAAAGGGTGATGCTGTTTCTGAAATATTACAATACTCCTGGCAGCATCATTTTGGAATGTCAAACTCAGCTACGGTGTTTTGTAAAGAAAAAACACGGGCTTTTTACCCTGATTCTACTAATATGGAAAAGAAATTCCCTCAAATGCTTGTAAGTATTCCCAGCATATGAAAGACTATTCTGAAGGACTCTTTAAAATTAATCATCAGCGCTCCTGACCAAATTCATTTCTGAAATCCCATACAGTATTTGGAGGAGCTGTATGGACTTCACAGGATGGGCTTCCTCGCTGCCATAAGCAGAATGTGAAGCGAACAAAACCTCGCTAACAAAGGGCTGGCAGTCAAATCCAGTTTGGTTCCAATTAAAACTCTCAGTTGACAGAATTTGTGAGCTTGATATATGCTTGGTCATTTGAGATTTTTACGAAATCCAAGATGCGAACGTCACAAAGCAGAGATCAGCTAGGGTGGACTCCACATCCAGGCGCTCACCACCAATCCCTCCAAGGGGACTGGCTGCCAGTCACAGGCATTGACAATGTGGTGCACACACACGGTTTCCCAGAACAAGGAGGGCGTCTCCATTTCTCACCCAGCGCGTCTCATATCTCTGGGGGTGATCCAACAGCTGAACCCGTGCTCATGAATGGCCTTTCACTGTGTGATTACTTCTGTAAAGGGAGACTAATCCTAAAGGCTGAAACTACATGTGAAATGAAAAGAAATAGGTGGGGCATCCTTGAGCTTGATTGGGAGGGTGGGAATTGGGGGGGCTTCAAATACACAGCTCACTGCTTTTTCATTCACTGTAAATGTCTAATTAAAAACGAAGAGCTATTTCTTACAAAAGAATTAATTTCACTCAAGGAAAAAAAAACAAACAAACAGGCAAAACTAAAGTAAAACATACATTGAAACCTTGTAACCCATGACAACAATTGGTATACAAGCTGTTGCTCCCTTCCTCCCCCCACTTTAAGCACTTTTAAAATGGTGAAATAAATACCAGCCAGCATTTACATAATACTCACTCTGCTTCATGCACTGTCCTAAGTATTTAACATCTATTTTAATTCGTTCTGTCTTATCTGCACCTTATAGACAAAGAAACTGAACAGAGGGAGGTTAAATAACTTGACCCAGTTCACAAGCTTGGAAGTGGCAAAGAATCTCTGTCCAACTTTTGCTGTGGGAACATTATGTTCAATTAAGTAGTGTGGGAAGAAAAACTTCTTAACTTCACTAAATCCTTAACTGCTGTTTCAACAGTGTCAGAAACTGGGAGCACAACCTGCTTGTCTTATTTTCGATTCCTAGTCCCCACGTGTAGGGAGGGGCCAATCTAAGATAGGAGAGACAGTCCTGACTTGGATCTAAAACTCAACAGCCTGCTGTAGGGCACAATCTGTAATATGAATTTAGATTCCTTCAGGGCTACCGCTCTTTGATGTTCTTACCATCAAACTGTCACCTTCTTGCCTCTACATATTACATAATCCATTAGCTTAGCTGTTTTTAAAGCCCTCCATTTAACTCAAGTCAACTATGACTTTATTTTTCTGAATTCTTAAAAACTATTGATCGTTGCCAATTCCTATAAAATCTAAAAGTGCTTATTTTGATGATGAACTTTAAATAAGTGTGGAGAGAAAAACAAAATGGAGGTTACAGGTGGAAAGAACTTCTCCCCCATGTAAGCTGTTAAATTGGAAATATGAGATGACACTGCCAAGTTCAGAAACAGGCTTAACGTTAAAGGTGTTCTCAGAGACCCGAAGGAGGCTCTATGTCTTCGCCCCACTCCCAGAGACCACCTGCCCATGTCCAAGGAGACAAGTTTTCTGCTGGCTCACGCTGAGGTCATCTGCTGCATCAAGACCCTGAAATGCTGTGGGTTATTCTTTACGGTTCTATTGCCCACACAGCAACTCCTGCGGCAATCATGGTAATTACATAGCAGCCTTGTTATCTTGGGATAGCGCTGTAATTAACCTGTGTCACTGCCTCATTCGTGGTCATAACAATTGCAGCAAAAAAGTCCCATGGAAGTAGCATTTTTCATCCTGACTTTCAAAAATAACTTCAGTGATCACACTTTTTAAAAACTCAAGTCTTTTTCCCCCAAAACACATGGTTTCCACTATACTAAGGCCACTGAACCCAGTTCTCTGAGTGTCCCCTGAGAAACAGCAGACAATCTCTGTTGTGAGAATTTCCAAAGAGAAAAGGAGAAATACTCAAATAAAAAACAGTTCTCAAAAGGATACTTACAACTCCTCTAGAAAAGGGAAGTTCTTAAATGCATCTTCTGGTAATTGAGTAATGTTATTCATGCTGATATCCCTGGAAAACATAAAGTTAAGAAGACGTTAACTATGTGATATTAGACTTAAAGCACTTATTTCAACAGAAAAATAATTAGGTGATAAAATTTTGCAAAGAAGCAAGGAAAATGAGCATAGAAGACAGACACAGGAATAGTCATAATTTAGTTTCAGAATGCAGTATTTAAGAAAATAGGAAAGTTCAATGTTTTATTAAAAAGTATACCCCATCATTTATGCTATATCCGGATCCTGGGTTTTTGCCCTTTAAGTATTCTTGGAAAAAAAGGTCTCCAACTACCTACAATGAGTGAGCTGGTGTGGCCTTTCAGGGCTCGGGTATTCAAAGTACTCTGTGCCTGACAAAAATAAACAAATGAATACCCAGAACTTGATAAAAGAGATCTACGGGTACGGGTGGCTTCTTAAGCCACTGTCAGGGATAATAAAACAGGTCCTAACTGTACCCCAGTCATATTTTCTGCAAAACCTATAAAAGTCCTCCAGGTAATAGTTGTAAGTAGATTTCATTTTTAGCCTATGAATAGATGCAGGCTGCAAACAAGTGCGTACATGACAGGTATGTGGTCCACTTCCAGTTTTTCCTTAAAGAGACAGCAGCAAGGAGGGTACCCACTCGACAATACAAGTCAACAATTAACTAGTTCAAGCAGCTGGAAAAAACCCTTTATTAACTATTTTCTTCTTCTCTGACAGCTGCCTTTTGGACTGGCTTTCTCCTTCCACACTCTGCTTAATCTGGACAGTGCGATACGCAGGTGAAGGCGGCCTCAGCAGGGACAGCCGCTGCAGGCTCTGGGTTGCCCGCCTCACCCGGGTGCCCCTGCCTCTTTTGTTGTTGCTACTGCTCTGTCGCTAAGTCATGTCTGACTCTTTTGCAACCCCATGTACTGTAGCTTGCCAGGCTCCTCTGTCCATGGGGTTCTCCAGGCGGAAATACTGGAGTGGGTTGCCATTTCCTCCTCCAGGGGATCTTCCTGACCCAGGGATCGATACTGCATCTCCTGCATTGGCAGGTGGATTCTTCACCACTGAGCCACCCAGGAAGCCTGCCCCTGCCTTTTTATCTGCTGCTAAATTCTGAGGTTCAGCCCACAGGTCTCCTTCCTATAAAGCACCATAAAAATTCACACATGTGACTTTCCCATGACCGAATCAGACAAAATGGGTCTAAGAAGGTGGAAGAGAAATCAAGCACACAGAAACCAGCTGACAATAATACCACTTTCTTTTCCTTACTCTGATCAGGTAAAATTTTCCTTCAAAGGACACTGAGTATCAATGTCAGTCAGTCCCTCCTCCCCACCTTTCCTCTCACCAACAGGTAAAAGTGGAATTTGCTTTCCTTCTTACTAGCCTTTCTCAAGGCGAGTTTGGGAAACGTCTTGGCTTGGGAATAAAAATAACAATGCAGGAGCGAAAACAGCAGTAGCAGCTGACATGTCGTGAATACCGATCAAAGGATAAGACTGCACGTTGATCTCATTCTATGAAGGGGGAAACTGAGGCTTCCTGGGGCAAAGTAACCTCCCTGAGGCCACCAGCAAGTGGTGTAACAGGACACATGAGTTCGAGTCCAAGATCTTAACTTCAAACTTCAAGTCTTCTAAAACATCATTTGGATCCTACTACTTCACTCCAGTGGTAATCAGGACATAAAGCAAATCCTGAGCCCAACCAAGGTTAAAAAGAGGGGGGGGACACTGCCCCCAAGACCTTGGCAAGATAATCAGGGGATCTCAGGAAGAGCACTTCTGCTTGAAAATAATAATAATAATAAAACTATAAATAGCTTTAGCTATTGAAGAAACAAAATTCTGAAAATTCTCTGGAGATGAATCCTCTGACTAAAGGGATTCACATGCATTCCAAAGTTGTCTATCATTAAAAACAACCCAAATCCTACTAAAGATAATTTATAAGAAAACAAAATTAATACACTTTTCTAGGAATTATTATTTTTAAATACAGGCCCTGATACTAATTTAGTTAACTATTATCATCCCTGGGGAAGGGGAGAGGGAACCTTTCATTTCTCATAAACACTGGAGCAACATACTAGAGAAACAGCACCCCAATAGGGATCAGAAGGAATATTGTTTAATCCTGGGCCTTGGTTTGCTTATCTGTAAAATGGTGGGGGCGGGGAGCTACACTGATGCACCCCAGGATGCACTGGGGTGCATCCTGTCCTGACATATACTTCTGTGATTCACTTTTTTTGGTAGTTTTCATGGAGGGGCTCACCCTCCCTGATGAAAATACAGGAGGTTCACCTGATAGAAAAGGCAGCTTTCTGAAAACTGACCATTAGGGCAACATTTAAAGACTCCTGGTTTGTCAATAGAAAACAACTGAACCACTTCCACTGGAAACACATTTCAGTTCAGTCGCTCAGTTGTGTCCGACTCTGCAACCCCATGGACCGCAGCACACCAGGTCTCCCTGTCCATCACCAACTCCCGGAGTTTACTCAAACTCATGTCCATTGAGTCGGTGATGCCATCCAACCATCTCATCCTCTGTCACATTTACCTTTAACCAAAACACATTTACCTTTAACCAAAAATAAAACCACTCTTAAGAATACAACAAAACTTTTATTAATCACACGGAAAAGCAAAATAATAAGCAGCAATTCTGCAAAATATCACAATTTTGGTGTTCTTTAGTCATTCCAATAAAAGGGAAAAGGAGGACAACCGTAATTTCTTTCTTTCCGGAAGGAGGTACTCCATACCATTTCCTCTAAATTTGCATGTGCATGTGCTCAGTTGTGTCTGACTCTTTGTGACACGTGGACGGCAGTCCACCAGGCTCCTCTGTCCGTGGGTTTTCCTAGGCAAGAATACTGGAGCAGGTTGCCATTTCCTCCTCCAGAGGATCTTCCCGAATAAGGGATCAAACCCATGTCTCCTGCATTGGCAGGTGGACTCTCTTACCACTGAGCCACCTAGGAAGCCCTTCCTCTAAGTTTGGGACACCTGAATTCAGGTGAGCATCACAGCAACAGAAAAACTGACTAATTGCCTCAGCAGAAAAAGACACATAATTATAAAAGAATTTACACCACACTCTTCCCTGAATTCCAATTTTGTAAATGCATACACCTATATAACTCTCTCATTTTTCCCCCACTCAGAGTAACAAGACATAACAAGTAGTTTTGCTGTGAGCTATAAATGCAATTAGTGGGACTCCATATTTACAAACTAATATGTGTTAAACACATTTGGTGAGGTTTTTTTTTTTTTTCTCCCAAAGCTTCTCAGAAGCAACACTTGTTTCCAAACTGATCTGAATTTCATATACTATCTTTTTAGGTGTTTTCCTTCATATTTTCTGAGCCTCACTTACAAAGCATTTGCAAGTAAGGAGGAGAAAAAGAAAAGAAAGGGAGGGGGGACCTGCAAGATGTAATCTCCAGAGAAACTTTGGAAACATGTGGTTACAGAGTATAAGGTGGGTGGGTACTCATTTAAAATAATGAGGGCTAATGGTGATAAACAACCTACAGACAGCCCAAAGAGTAGATTCCAGACTTGACATCATCAACACCAGCAAAAGAGCTCAAGGCTTCGGATGCTGGGGGTGATGACTTAACTGTAACAATTTACAAATGGAAGCCCTAAGCCAATAATTACAGATATATTGGGCTCATGGGCCTATAAATTACTAAAGTACATAAGTAAAAGAAAATGGTACAGAAAACTTTTAGCTAGAAGATAACACCCCTAGGTCAGTGCTTTGACATTCATGATGAGCAACACAATCTTGCCAGGAACATCTGTAGTTAAACCCGGAGATTTGCAATCCTGGGTTCCTATGAAGAAAATAAGTATAAGGTAGAAAACAAAATAATCTTATGAGGTCAGAGACCACCTACTCAAAAGTCTCCAAAGAGTGATTTCAAGAGAACAGATGGCCTTACTTGGAGCCAACCCGGCACAGATGGAAGGACGCAGGCCTCGAAGATTAAGGCTTTCCTATGGATTCACCAGCATTAGCTGTGTGATCTTGGGCAAGCTGGTCATCTTTTCTGAGCCCTGACTTCTTCATTTAGATAAAGGAGGCAGTAGTAACTAAAGCCTATAGCATCCTGTGAAGACCAGAAAATGTCAAGTCACATTGCTGTTGTTTAGCCAATAAGTCGTGTCCGACCCCATGGACTGTAGCCTACGAGGCTCCACTGTCAATGGGACTTCCCAGGCAAGAAAACTGCAGTGGGTAGCCATATCCTACTCCAGGGTATCTTCCTAACCCAGGGATCGAACCTGCATCTCCTGCATTGGCAGGCGGATTCTTTACCACTGAGCCACCAGGGAAGCCCCGCATCAAGTCACATATAAAAAGCTAAATAAGTAACAGGTGTTATGTCATCATTGTCCATGTTTTACTGCTCCTGGAAGCTATGTGAATCCACTGGACGGAGAGCCAGCAGCTGAGCACCTCACTGCCTTTGTGGCCTTCTTTTCCAGAAAAGAAACCACTTTTACACAATGGAAATACTAAATGGTGTAGAAGGTCGAGAACCTGGAGTTGTTCCTAACTACAAAACTGGATTCTAAACTCCAGAATTCCAGGAGTCAAAGATGTTGAGATAGAAGAGCTCTTTGAGATCAAAGAACTCTGTTTTAAAAAAAGTAAATTGTTGAGGCTTGGCTGTTGACAGAGAAGGAAGGGAGACAGGGAGAGGAGGAGGTAGGAAATTACCTTCTCATAGGAAAATTGTTAGAAGTACAGGAGAGATAAGAGCCATTTTTAAATGGCTTTGCGCCAGGCGGACTTTGCACCATAAGCGATGAGGCAGGGGACAGAACCCAGAACTTTTACATAATGGGGGGAAATGCCTGAATGCGTTTTCTATACATACTGGTTCCATAACAGATTTCTTTATAATTTAGGCCTCTCAAGGTATACCAACTGGGACAGGGCACACGCATATCACAGCCAATGTAATACTCCCCAATTTTTACAACAGGGATCAAAACTGCAAAA